ACACGGAGCAGCAATGTGCACTAAGGGGGTAGCGATTTCTAAAGTGAACTAATACACCACACATTAATTTGTTTACATAGACCCACAAGGTCCAGGATATGGTGTGCACTAAAAGATCCTGAGTGTGCTTTAATGTAGTGCTATTCAAAACAGAACTTTTAGTGCACACCAGCAGGGTCTTACACAGACCAATTAATGCACAATGCAATAGCACTTTTTAAATCACACCCCCATCGTGCGCATTGCTGCTCTGTACAGACAAACCCTAACACTATAAAGCACCAGAATCCAGCACAGGAAATCTTCACCTGTCCCAAACTGCAGAAGTGCCAGGTTCTGCCCCCGCTGAAATAAACCATTGATTTGCTCACTCCTTCTCAACCCCTACAAACGCAGAGAGGAAATACAGTCCCGTGGTTAAGCTGATTGTCTGATAGTTGGGGGTTCAAATCCCTGCCCTACCATAGACTTCCTATTTGACCTCGGGCAAGTCATTTAGTCTTTTTGTGCCTCAGTTTTCCATCTGTACAGTAGTACTTCTCTACCTCATGGGGGATAAATACACTAAAGATTGTGGGGTGCTCATAGTACACTAATAGAGGGGGCCATAAAACTATTTTATGTAGTTAGATCTATTTATCTAAAATACCCACTTCTACTTTACATAAGCAGTTTCTGTATAGAAAATTGTTAGAACGAGTTGTCCTTTGTATCCATAGCCATGTTACAGAGCCATGTTTGAACTTCACTAGAAAGGGTTAGCTTCATTGCTGTTCTAATAGTCCGTTACCCCTGCAAGAGGAAGTATCCAACAGGACTCCAAGAAGGGGAGCGTGGATGCACTGAAAAGTCTGAAAGCATTTTGATTTGACACAATTAAGCCACATTAAAGAAACTGTTCTGGAAAAGTGGATAGAATTGTTACTAATGGGGAAAGCAGGGCACGTAGGTATCAGAAAGGGTCGGGGAAATCTGCTGTCTTTTTAGAACAAGACAACGCCTTCCCAGTGTGCATTTAAGCAAGAAAATCCTGAGAGAGAACAGTTACCTTCCTTCCAGCTGCAAGAGTGCCAGGGCAAAATTCTTCCCAGGGCTCCAGGGAGTGAGAAAGGACCGCCTACACTCATCTACCTCCTGCCCCCACTACTCAGCTTCTTCATATGAATGAGACACACTGGTAGTAATAATGTGAACTGCACTTCTTGGCATTGAGCTGCAATGACAAAATATAATAGCCTAAAAGTGCCAAGAGCAGTTTTACTCTCTAGTAAAGAATCCTGCTACTGGGTGTTATGTTTGCTGTACAGTGCAATGCCACAACCAAAAGCAAACCACGAATTAGACGTAGAGTTGTGTATTATGCACCACAATATAACTAGATGAAAAAGACAAAATGAGACACATTGTGAATGGAATTATTAATTTTACTGGCTTTTCATATCCAGCATAAAATTGGCTTTTACTATAATTCTGTCTATTAAAAATTCAACAACATCTGCCAAGCATTACCACAGACATCACCTATACTAAATGGAGGTAAAAACTGTAGAAAGCTCAGATGTGGCAACTGTTTCCAAATGTTGGTTTAATAATGACAATTATTAATTATTATTTATATTACAGCAGCTCTCAGAGGCCCCTGCTGAGACTGGGGCCATATTGAACAAACATAAAGTAAGAAATAATCTCTTCTCCAAAGGACTTACAAGCTAAACAGATGATACAGACAGAAGAGTGAATTATTATTTAACCCATTTTACAGATGGGGAATTAAGATGCAGACACTGTTAGAGTGGATGATCTTTTGAGTCCCAGTTCAGTATCCTAAATATAAGATGATCCACTTGACAGCTCTCTTATATAGTTTTACCACAGAGTTTGTTTGTTCCTCTGGCATGAACTACATATTTTTAAAAATAAAACCAGTAGCTGGCCATACTACGAACCCTAGCACTAATATAGATAATGTTATCACAACTCATTGAAGCTCAGTTTTTAATTCTATGCAAAGAGAGAAACTAAAATTCTATGTGAAAAAGTAGCTTTTAAATCAACTGATGGTTTTAAACTAGTTTCTTTCAGCAATTCCACAACGCTTCCTGAGAGCTGGGTTTTGCCAACACCAACCCAACAGAAATGGACAGGTGTTACCCTGGTAATGGTCACTTTTACAAACTCTCTGTACATTGTATCTACCGTTCATACTGTAAGGATAAGGCCTTCGTCTGCAGCTAGGTTAAAAGAGCAGCAGCCATTAGCCTAGAAGCAGGAAGTCACATCCTCACATTCCATCTAAATTACAATGTAATATCAGGCTGTTAAGAAGGAAACCCCCTCCTCATAGCACCCACTATCATCAGATAAAGAAACAGATCTTAAGATGGTTAAAGAAAACTTAAGTTTGCTAGCTGTCTGGCAAGAAATCATTTATCAACAATTGTAGCTGTGAAATCTATACTTCTTTATTGTTTTGTCATTATGGTCCCCACATCCCTATTGTTTGTCTGTATGACCTCTGTCTGGTTCTTTGATTGTTTCTGTTGGTTACATAATTAATTTTGCTAGGTGTAAATTAATTAAGGTGGTGGGGTATGATTGGTTAGAGAATTTTGTTAGGATTGGTTAGTAAAATTTTAGTATAATGATTGGTTAAGGTACAGGTTCACCCCAGGACTCCAGTTTCACTATATAAACTGGGGTCCAAAAGGAAGTTCTTTGGGAACCAGCTCCAGGACACAGCCCCAAGAACAAAGCTGCCAGACCTCAACACTCTGCCAATGACACCGTGCAGAAACTGGAGTCCCCCAGATGGATCTGATCCTGACTGGCCATGGAGAAAAGTTCATCTGCCTTACTGGGAATGGTGATCTCTGTATGTGTAGCGTGTGCTGTCTGGTTTTGGGGATTGTTAATAAATAGAAGTTAGGTAGGATATTGCTGGGTAAGGTTCTTTCACTGGTAAAAGACCCCACAAACCCACAGAAAGGTGAGAGTGGGTGGCTAAATTGACAGGGTTACGCCTGAGCCCTAGGAACGGGGTAAGGGTGGGTGCCCCTAGAGTGTGTGAGTGACAGAGAATTTTGTGCAGGTAACAATTCCCTCTGCGGCACTTGGCATTGGCCACTGTCGGAAGACGGGATACTAGGCTAGATGGACCTTTGGTCTGACTCAGTATGGCAGTTCTTATGTTCTAATGCAGACCAATAGTTTACATGCCCCTTCTCATATAAATTAGGCAGCAGCTTCTAAATGAAATTTAAAACTTTATGCTTCCATCCCCAAAGGAATAAAGATGCTCCAAGAATCATTTGCTAGAGAAAAGCAAGAGGAGGCTAAGAACCTAGACTCACCACTCAGGAAGAAACAAGCAAAGAAAGTTTTACTGGACTAGCAGAGCAGAACTGCAGAAGCCATATTAACTGATGGGGGACATGTATTTTTGGCACCTTCAGTTCCACCAACACAAAGATGAGTTCTGGATGGGAATCTTGACAAACAGTGAAAGGGTATGGGGTTATTGATGTGAAAAACTGCATAGGTGCCATCTAGTGCTGTGACCCCAGCAGAACTCACGAATTACTCAGAGTTGGATCTGGTTAGAACTTACAAGGGGGAACCCAAAAATATTGAAGGACTTGCGTTCTGTAAAATGAACTCTTCCACTACGTAGGTACTGAACAATGTCCAAATCTAGTGTTAGAAGACACCCAGCTTCTAACTGCAAAAGTATGAACTCATCATTCTAGATAGCGGTCTTAATGAATTCTTCCATTGGAGCTTCCGCTAAGCAACCTCATGCAGTATCCATCTCTATCCTTTTCAAAACAGGAGATTCATCTACAGTCTCAGTGATACCAAACCTCATTTACCAAGAGCACATGACCTTAAAATCCACGGACATTTTTATACAGAATATTCTAACCACACACACAAGTAGCCATTATATAGAATGGTGGTATTGTCTAAATAATACTTGGTATGGTTCCTTACATTGAACTAAATGGGGACATTGCTTCCATTAGCCCATAACCTCAGTATAGTGCACAGCCAAAGTAACTAGCCCCTGTGTAAGGGACAATCTCATAAGCGCTTCAGCAGTCCCATGGCTGTTGTGTTTTTGCTACACAGGGCAGGATAGCTAGTAGAACTATGCAGTTGAAAATCCAGTGTCCTCAACTCTGCATTCCTCATCCCCATGCCCAACCCATTAGGGTGCAAGAAGCCCCATTAAGCTGTGTTCTTTGGCACACAGGAGGGGTACAATCCTGCTGTTCCCTTCACAGCAGAGCTACACCATTTTCCACTACTGTGGAAATTACAGAAGAGGCAAGTTTAGCCTCATAGACCAGAGAGCTGCACAAATAATGACATCTGCTCTTTTGTGCAAGATGTGCTGAGCAAGAATCTCTAATTCTTATTGGAGATTAACAAATCTGGTCTCTGTGCCACAATCAGACTGTGGCTACACATCTGCACTTGAAGCTGGGGGGTGTGATTCCCAGTGCAAGTGGACATACTCGCGTTAGCTTTCATGGAGCTATCTCACAAACAGAAGCCACCACAGCCTAGGCAGCAGCGAGCGATGGCACTGGACCAGCCACCCCAAGTACTTTCCCAAGGGGTCCCTGAGGGTTTGCACCGGGGGCAGCTAGCCCCTGCCACTGCTCACTGCTGGCTGTGCTGCCATGGCTACGTGGCTATTTTTAGTGCGCTAGCTTGATGAGCGCTAGTGTGACTATATCTACTTGAGCTGGGAATCGCACTCCTAGCTCAAAGTGTAGACATCGTCTAGATTTGTGGATTTACAGAAATATGGTGTACAGAATATGGTGTACAGGGTTACAGAAATATGGTGTATTCCTGTCTTATTAGCCACCAAAGATAATGACACTCCCCATACAGACTACACACTATTATTCACAGAATTCACACTTTATGACCTTGTTTGAATTTTCCAAATATGCCTTAGTATTAACCCAGGAGAACTGTTCTTCATATACCTTCTAGATGAAAGTGTTCATCACCAATTGTCTCTCTGTAACCTTCACCAGACGGCTCCTGTAGAAATAAGAGGTACAAAGAAAAAAAAAGATTTAATGGCTTTACAAAACATTGAAACATTAATCAAATACCTAATCTGATTCCAAAGTTAATGACAAATGTTATAAATCATAACGCAACTAGCCCTCACAATGCAGTCATCTTCCTCATGCACATACGCACCATTTCATGAGTGCTTATGATAACAGAGAGAAAGGAAAAGGTACAGTTCTAAAAGTTTGAAGTATCCCATTCATGGCCAATATACCTTTACTGCAGAGATCGTTAAGAAACACAAAGCCAATAAAGATGGCATTCACCTGGGAATTAGGGGCAGCGGGCAGGGACGCTTCTGCAGGAAGACAAGGGTAAGTCAGTATCTCTCCAAAAGGAGGACTGGTTGTATTCATTAGCTTATTTATTGAGGTCATCCAATCAAGATAAATATCACTTCATTTCATTTTCTTAAAGAGACTGACAGAGGCTCAGCAATTTTTTAACCTTCAGAGACTGTACATTGCCCTACCTTTCTAAGTGACTTGTTAGCAGTTACCAACTGTCTCCTTTCTGCAGACCAGGAGGTAACTAAAGCAAGAAATAAGACCCTGGGAACTCTGAGACCAATTTCTGTACCTGTGTTTTTTAATTAGATTCTACAGAATGCACTGTTGTCTGAACAACCCTGAAGAACCTGAAAACTTCCCTTTCTCCTTGTGCATGTACATTTTAAATAAAGTTATGAACTGGTGTCCCAACTCTGCAGCCACCGCATGAGAATGAATCTCACTGAAAGGCATGATTGTGCTGGATAAAACTATAGGGTTTTTGCAGCGCCATCAGAGCAGCCATTTTGGATTTATTCTTCCAAGCAGCAAATCCCCACAACCTCTTTCTGAAGCTTTGTTTTTATTTTAAAATATCTATTAGAGCCCCTTCTTTCTTAATAAGTGTTGATGAGCACCAGCCCTTATCTCCAAAATAAACAAAGGAAGGAATTGGCATAGAAGGATGGGAAATGCTATTAAATGCTGCAGTTGGTCATTACCACATTTCTGCAAGAGGATGAAATCTCCAAAACTAACTAACTAAGGGCCTGACAATAACATCCTCATATGTGTAGGCACAGACATTGGCATAAGGTGGAGAGACAAGCATCAAAGAATTAACCTGAAGAAGTAGATGTAGCTGCCTTTGCATGGCACTCAAGGGTAGATTCTGTGCGAAGTCCTCACACTAACATCTGATTATACGAGTAGGTATGAAATCACACCATTAACATATCTATCTCTCTCATTTAAGCTGTACACACAGAACTGTTTGGGGGACATGAAAAGGAAAAAAAACCTTAGGAAATAACAGACCCTGGTTTTATGACGGTAACACAAAAGATTTGTGAAGTTAGGAGTTTTTAAAATTAAGGGACACAAATGCACTTGTGAAAATCAGTGTTTACTTTCACTACAGTGTAAAAAAAAATGTGAGGAGAGTTCTTCATATTAACGAGAACTTTTGACTTACTTGCACTATTAAAGCAGAGCTCAAGTCCAAGCCCTGAGAACACTAGGATAAGTTCAGTTGTAAATATCCTACAACTTTTAGTTTCTTCTTGCATTTTCAAATGCCCCTTTGAACAGGTACGTGTCGTCATTTTCTTTGGGTCCCCGAAACAGTGCCTTCCACACTCAAGAGCACCTCCAATGACTGTATGGTAATGAGCTAGGTAGTGTAGTGACTATGCAGACAAACATGGTACCATAATTCGTTCATATACCCCTACATATTTAGCAGCTGCTTTTGAACTGAGCAGAAATGTTGATTTATCACTTATTTTCTTAGAAAAGAGCCATGGGACAGCTGGACAGCTGCTAGTTATAAGCTGAAATCACCTTGCTTTTAACATTCCACCCACAGGGGAATAACTTCCACTCTGTAGCCCCCACCTCTAGAACTCCAACTTTAGCTGTATAGGCATTGGATAGGACTCCCAAGTGCTGATGCCTAATCTTGTTATCTTCTGGGCCAGAGGAAATTATGAAATCCATTGAACCATATTGACAAACCTTGGAGTCTTGTAACTTATTTATTTATAAGAAGTTTTCTTGGTCATAGCTAAATTACAAACAAACAAAACCTTTTCTTTTAAAGGCAAAAGGTATTTCACTGTAAAAAACAACACCCAATGAATAAGCTAATAAAATGCAACTTTAGCAACTGATACCTCAACAGGCAGGAACTGAGAAAAAGAATGCATAAGAGGGGAAAGCAAATAGTTAATATTCTATGAGTTGGACTCCCTATTTTCTCATTTTAATCATTAAATGGGCCTTATGTAAATATTTTTACATGCTAGTTCTAGCTTCACTCCCTGTAGCTCCTAGTTATTCAGTTAATTTATGGTAGTGAGTTCATACAAACTAAATTTTAAATAATTATTTTTCCCCTTAAGCCAAATTATTATGACTCACCAACTTCTGGGAATGTTTTTGCTGATGGTGTAAAGCAGTAATACTAGTGTTAAATGGCATATGAATTGACAACCCAGTCCTAAAGCTGACGACAGCAACACTTGCACAATTTACTGACATATCTAGACAGCTAGAACTCATCAGCTGCCAATTAAATTTGCTCTTTCGTGCCAGTAAGATTATGACATGCATTATTTCTGATAGACAGACATTTATGCAATAGAGGTGTGGGAAACTGGACCCTAAAAATATCTACTGTTATACTAAGATCTTACGGGAGAAACTGAAAAACTAAGCCACAAAAAGTTGCACTGATCCAAATATCACTATTGTTTTGGTGAACAAATTGCACTGGAAACAAGTATCACAGTATCTTTTAACACCCCAAAGCCAGGTGTCACAACCTATATAAGTGCCATAATGCCCTCTGCTTGTGAAAAGTGTTCTGGACATTTCACATATAATATCATTTCAGAAATGAAGAAAAAAAGACAATGGCTCGGGGAAAGTTATCTACAACAATCCTGATTTCTTCTCTATTGTAAAAAATGCAGAGTTCTTCCAGTTACGCACCAAGTATTGTTTTAAAAAGATTAATTAGACAATCTCTTTCTTCAGGCTGAGATGGGGGAAATGCATTGGCTACACCAATTCTGAAAATGTAATATGACAACATAGCCAGGCGACGGTGTAGCATACATGTTGGCAACAGAAAAATAAATGATGTTAATGAGAAGAGGCAGGGCATTAATCAGATGAGCATACCCAAAGAAGAACATGAAGGAACGTCTTTAAAAAAACCAAAGGAAATATCTGCTTGATGAAATAGTAGTTGTGATGAAAGACCAAATTAAAATTCCGATCTTGCATCAGATTCTGCTCGCATATACCCTTCTGCTCTGCATGGATGCAAGGGTCCACATTAGTAGATTGTACTAGAGGACGGGTGCCTACGAGAGCAAAAGCAACCATGTGTAAGTCTTAGATATCTGAGATATATCACAGTCCTGACACCGTGTTTTAAATCACAACACTGCATTTTCCAACTGGAACACCAAGTCATGAAACAACCAAAACCAGATGTACCCTGTGACATACTATATAAATGAGGTCAGCAAATGTTTGAAAGAGTAAAGAAAAGAAAAGTTTATGTAGAAGGAGTATTCCAGTGTGCCATTTCTATAGGTTGCCAAACAGGATCCCATCTACAGCAAGTGTTTGCACCTCAGTGGGAGTTTCCCAGATAAATAAGTTAGCCCCTGTTAGCTATCAACACAAATCATACAAAATGACTAAAACTCAAGCTCAGACATCTGCTTCAAAGCTGTTAACAGCTGCCTGGCTGACTTCAGCAGTAAAGACCTTGTGTCCCACATATTCTTTTCTGATAGGTGCCACTGTAATCAACTGAGATTTAAGGGGGTAGGAGTAGAGAGAAGAGTTAATTAGTGCAACTCCCTCAGAAATGCAGCTCAGTATATACATACATAAGGAAGAAAAGCCATTTTTAAAAGCTCCCTAGTCCAGACTTCTACTTAGCTGGTTATAGTCAGACAATCCCACCTTCCGCTCCCCTTTGCAGTAGGCTCGAACTCCACACTGAATTCTAAAACACTGGAAAGTCTATTTTTTTTTAACCCCAATCTGAGCCCTAACCACTCTTCAATTTTAATACAGACATGATCTTCTGAATTGCTGAAGTCAAGACATTCCTTCTGGCCATCTCTAGGCTATTGGATTCACATCCCCAGCTATCTAAAATGCTGCAATCAGAATATTCTTCCTTTCCCATTGTTCTGTCCATGTCACTCTTTTCCCTCAACCCCCTCGCTAACTCTCCTTCTGCTAAGTTCCTTGTCTTTGCCTCCCAGGCTCCGCACGGTGGTACTCCTATCTATATTTGAGCTCTCATCCCCTTCCATGGTTCCAAGCACCGTCTATTGACTACCCCTAGCATATGATGTGAAGGCATAACAGAGCTGAATGCCATCTGTATATCATTGGCAACTGAGCCCAAGAATTCTCTCACTTTTGCCCAATAGCTGCATATAGGTATCAATAGGCCAAGAGAGGATTGAACATTTTGATACTGCACAGATGAGAGCGCCTTGGGGACAGAGGAGCTGATACACAGAAGTATTTGGGTACCTCTGGGTAAAGCCTTGAACTATTTCAGGGTCTTTCTTGATTCCAACCATGTTGAGTGCTGCCACAAAGTCCAAGAATATAAATATAGAACTATTGTCTTGTCCACGAGCATCATCATATCTGCTCCATATTCCGGTCTGAAATCCAGACACCTCTACCATTATAGCCTGTAGACAGATATATTTGGAGAGGGCTCTTTGCTAGCTTCTCATTAAATGTGTTAATTGTGTGAGTATCCAAACGACGAGTTATAGGTATAAATGGCCGATTGTGGAAACTATTACCATGATTAGGTGGGCAATCATAACTGCACCCCCAAGTTAAGCACACATTTTGGTCATGCATTGCTCACTTACACATTTGAAAATCACGCCTCAAACATTACTCTGTTCTTCAGTGCCACCT